TATCGTGCTTTATGTTGGTGTATCACATACACTATCAGACTGTAGTACTTGTTATCGTGCTTTATGTTGGTGTATCACATACACTATCAGACTGTGTACGTCTCTGTCTACTTCTGTACACTGTTCACTGTGTACCGGATGTACTCCTTTGTTGTTCTTGTGTCCTCTGTGTACTCTATGTCCTGTATGTGTGTACTATGTGTATTCTTTCAATTTCTTTTGTGTGTACTCCTATGTACTCTTTGTGTGTACTGTATGTACTATTCCTGTGTACATATACTATTTTTTCAAGTTTTCTGTGTGTACTCCGTGTACTCTGTATTTTTCTCAATTTATTTTTTGTGTACTCTCTGTACTCTTTGTGTGTACCCTGTACTCTGTGTGTGTACTCTATGTACTCTTTGTGTGTACTCTATGTACTCTTTTTTATGTGTACTCCATGTACTCTGTGGAGTACACACTGTGTGTACTCTCTGTACTCTTTGTGTGTACCCTTTACTCTTTGTGGAGTACACACTGTGTGTACTCTCTGTACTCTTTGTGGAGTACACACTGTGTGTACTCTCTGTACTCTTTGTGGTACTCCCTGTACTCTTTGTGGTGTACTCTCTGTACCCTTTGTGGAGTACAGAGAGTACACACTGTGTGTACTTTCTGTGTACTCTCTGTCCTCTTTGTGGTGTACTCTCTGTACTCTGTGTACTCTTTGTGTACTCTTTGAAAGTACACACTGTGTGTACTTTCTGTGTACTCTCTGTACTCTTTGTGGTGTACTCTCTGTACTCTTTGTGGAGTACTCTTTGTGGAGTACTCTCTGTACTCTTTGTGGAGTACACACTGTGTGTACTCTCTGTTCTCTCTGTGGAGTACACACTGTGTGTACTCTCTGTACTGTTTTTTATGTACTCTTTGTGTGTACCCTTTACTCTCTGTGTGTACTCTATGTACTACTCTATGTACTCTTTCTGTGAACTTTTTGTATGTTCTCTTAGTTACCTTTCGTGTGTACTCCTTGAGTGTACTCTTTATCCACTCTTTGTGTACTCTTAATGGTCTCTTATTTACTCTTTGACTGTACTCTTTTTGAGTACTCCTATGTACTCTTTGTGTGTTCTCTGTGTACTCTTTGTGTGTACTCTACGTACTCTTTTTTGTGGGTACTCCAGGTACTCTATGTACTGTGTACTGTTATGCACTCTTTGTGTGTACTGTATGTACTCTTTTTTGTGTGTACTCTATGTACTCTTTTTTGTGTGTACTCTACATACTTGGCGTACTTACGTGTCGTTGTGTTCGTGCTCTTCTTGTGTGCAGGTTGTCCATGACGTGGCCCTTCAGAAGTTACCTGTGCGATTTGCAATGGACAGAGCTGGTCTGGTTGGTGCTGATGGGCCAACCCATTGTGGCGCATTTGACGTCACATACATGGCGTGCCTACCTAACATGGTGGTCATGGCGCCAGCTGACGAGGCCGAGTTATTCCACATGGTTGCGACGGCGGCTGCAATTGACGACAGGCCAACTTGTTTTCGCTATCCTCGTGGGAACGGAATTGGTGTGACCCTTCCCCCTAATAACAAGGGGGTTCCACTAGAGGTAAGCGTGCTTGTACCTTCTCTTCCTTCTTCCAGCATAATTTACACCCCCCCCCCCCCCCCCCCCCTCCCTCTCCTATTATACACCCATTTGAGGGCATACTCACTGTAGGATTTTTTTCAGTTACTTAATAGATGCAATTGTGGTCAGATGCATCGATACATTTAAGGTAGAGCTAGCGTGATTACGCCCTGTCTCCAAACGAATGACACGCGTTGCTTTGCTGTGCGAAGCTGCGCTAAGCAGACAGGCTGGGGCGCAGGTGAGTGGGCTTACAGCGGCCATAGCCGGGCTGCGCTTGCGGAGCGAGGTGACAGTGATGGCGGTCTTTGGGTAGGAGGCACATGCTTGAACATAGATAGGGGTAGATACGCTGAGTAGCGTAGGCTGGGCGCTGGGGCGCCAATCAGTAGGAGCGACATTGGATACTGCTCTGTTGGTGTGGCCAGAGTGCGTCGACATTGACATACGAGTTCATTGTATTGCTCTTATTAGGATGGCATCGTGGTGCATTGAGCTCTCTGCTTGGTACATGACTATCTGGGCTCGTTCGTGATTTTGCAATTTGGATTTCTGTCTATCGCTCTCACTCATATTCCTTGCAAGAGGGCGGTGATCTCGAGAAAAAAAAAAAGAAAAAAAAAAAAAGTGAATGCATGAGAGCTTCAGGCATGGGGGTGTGTGCATGTCTGAAAGGGAGAGTTAAGTTTGAAGTTTGAAATTTGAAGTTTGCACACATCCGAACTAAAGGTCAGCGAATGTGGGATGCATGCAAAGCAGGTGGGTGTCGGGAGAGTTCTTCTGGAGGGAACGGATGTGGCTATCCTCGGGTACGGGACCATCATCCAGAACTGTCTGGCTGCAGCTGCTTCGCTTGCTGAGTGGGGTATCTCTACTACTGTTGCTGACGCACGATTCTGCAAGCCTCTCGACACTGCTCTCATCAGACGTCTTGCCAATGAACACCAGGTGAGAAAGACTTCAGGCACCAGCAAAACAAAATAGAACACTTGCCCATATGCATGCTCATACATACTCCCACAGACAGATAAACTCACACTCTGTGTGTGTGTGTGTGTGTGTGTGTGTGTGTGTGTGTGTGTGTGTGTCAGAGAGACAGAGAGAGAGAGAGAGAGAGAGAGAGAGAGAGAGAGAGAG